GTCAACACAATCAACGCAGCACCGGAGCACAACGCAGCCACACCGAGGACATGCCCCTTCACGCCCATGGAGTGGAGCATGCGACGCCCGCTGAGGTCACCCATACTACGTCCGCAGTACACGGCGGGGGCCACACGGAGGACCCGGTCCAGCGGTGTATCACAAGCTCTGCAGTATCCAGACTTCAGTTGCCTGATGAAGGCTAGCAGCACCAGCATCCAAAACGTTGCTACCAGCAACACGACTCTATCTCTTCTACTGGTATTTTTCAATTCAACAAAAAAGAGCTCTCCAGTGGTATACATGTACATTGTATATACATACATGACTATTACATACATGACTATTAGTGACATTATTCTGGCAGTTTTGCATCTTTGTTCGAGGCATGTTTTCACTATTTCAGACCAGGCATGAATAATGCTATCGCCAAAATTGCTGAGAAAATGACATTTTCAAATATATTGTGACCAGTTGAACCAGTTAGGTCGCCTTGTCCCACCACTTCTCTTCCACCTACCACATAATCTATTGTTAATTTTCAAATTCATTTTTCTGCTCATTCCCTTTTTATAATACTTTTTTCTACATATTTTTTTCCTTCTAGTGTCAAGTATGACCAGTCAACCCAATTAGGCCACCTGATCCCTTCACTTCTCTTTGACATTTCTCTCTTCTGTCACATATTGAGCGTGATCAATCGACCATGAGTCACCTGGTCCCTCTTCAGTCTTTCAGGTGTAACTCCATAATACATGTACTGAATGAAACCTAGTTGCGATGCTGTATAGAGCTCCCTCTACCATTGCATTATTCTACTACCCTCTTGGCAGTTGTGTGCAGCAGCAATTTATGCAGCTGTGGATGCACCCATGCTAGCGATTTGAATAGACTTTTTTCTCTGCCCTGCATTCAACCAAAATGTGCAGCTTGGTACTGCACCACCCTCTTTTGTTGGGCGTGGGGTGACTGTTTGAGAGATTCAAAACTGAGTCATTCTGCTGCAAAGCCTTCCAGAGTGAATATCATTTTGCAACTCTAGCACTCTTGCATTGTATGGTGTACTAACTTGTACAACCATTACTGCATTCAATTCCATTGATTGATTGGCAAAATCGTGATCAGCTGCAGGCACTTTGACATCTGCAGTTCCCGTACATGTACTGGCAGCTGGTAGCTGCTGGCATTTGCCAACTTAACTTTGTAGTTGATCTTTTGCAGATCAGTCATTGATTGTCATTTTTTTAAAATATCGAATCTAAGTAATTCACCTGTAAAAGTAACTCAATCTTACACATAAGCATTATTGTACATAAAGAACTTCAGGTCAATACTCATCGGGACGGAAATAAAACCATACAGATATATCTGTGCCAGGATTCTTGTGCCGCCACATTCCTGTTCCTTTTGTTTGTGTTATTTCCCCCTCAGTTTAATACAATATGATCCTGTGAATTAAATAAGAGATGGGTTGCTCTTCCAAATATTACAAAACCTCATAACTATCTTCTGCTTCAATATGACTTTTAACCCGCAAAATAAGAAAGAGCAAGATGCGACTTTATTCTCATTTTGTCGTAACAGGTCACAATTTCTCTTATAATGAACTAATAAGGAAGGTTCATTCAACTCATCTTATTGACAACCAAAGGAGAATGTAGGTAAAAATAATTCAAAATATTAATTATGTATTTTATTGGAAATAAAAAAAGGTGATTATACAACATTATATGGTGCAGACAGGGTTCGATTTACCTGGGTGCACGCATGCACCAGTGCATGTAGATTTTTGCTCGTGCACGTAGTACTTTTACTAAGCATGCACGACATGCATGTAACTTTTTAACCACCAAAATACTCATTTCCTGCATATATTTACCAATAAGTGAGAGTAAGAATAAAGTTTGTTGAATTCTTGACCAGATAGTGTACGAACATGTTTTTCCTTTCTCCCAATCCCATTCCTCATAGCAGATTCACAATACACGTACATGTACATACGCCGTCTTGGCTGTAGCACTAGCACTATTTTTAGAGTGGGAAAGCCCTCACTGATTACACAAGTATGTGACGTCATTGAAGCTCTTCACAATTCCATCAATTGTAGGTACCCCTCTAAGACATAATTCGGGCTATCACAATTGAATCAATTGGGGGTACCCTCCAGGCAATGTTATTGGTTGCGCACATGTGCTCTAGTGCTAGCTGTCAAACTGGTGAATGCATGCAACGTTGTGATTTGATTTTGACCTGGGTGACTGACTAGTCATTGACATTACTTTTAATTCTGCCAAAATGCCTAAGAAAAAAATGAAACCCAGCGCCACAAAAGCATACATTGCTTTTGTTCTGGGGTGCTACCGGTACGACGTCTGATAATACGGCTGATGATACTGACAGCGTTCATCACCAAGGGGGTGATGGGGGTATCGCTGGTGAACTTTTGCCTCGCGGCAGTGCTGAGCCAGAGCTTGTCAATGCAAATATAGATCGCGTTGAACTTCAAACTGCCAGTGCTTGTAGGCCTACAAGTTCTTGTACTGCTGCCGATGCCACGGTGGTGGGAGGGAAGAGAATTGGAGAGAAGATAACTTTTGGTTTGAGTATGATAGAGTAAAATAGGCTATGTACTGTAGTGTCTGTCAAAAATTCAATAAATCAAAGAGGAAGAATGCCCTTAGAGAAGCAAACAGGTGCAAGTTAGTGAGGTTCTGTAATGTTGAGGCTCACAATAAGAATGACCTGCATAAAGCAGCACGAAGGTCCATGACGTTTTAAAATTGGATACGAAAGACAAAGCCACTTGAAAAAACTAGGCACGGCTAAACGAACAAGAAGTGAATAGAATTAAAAAGTACTTCACGACCAGCTTTTATATTACTCAGAAATGTAGACCATTCAGTGATTTTCCCGGGATGATGGAGCTGCAGCTGCATAATTTTGCATGCATGCAAGGAAGTTGCTGAGCAGTATCAGTCCTATCGAACTGATAAAAAATGCAAGGAATTTGTTCATTTTATAACAGCTGATATCTTGGAAAGACAAGTCGTTAATCAGCTTGATGATGACAGTTTCATTTCCATATAAGCCAATGGCAGCAGAGATAAGTCTAACATGGAGCAGGAGATTATTAACGTCACTATGTTGCAAGACCACAAGCATGTAACCCAATATGTAACCCTAGCCTTGGTTCCAAATGCCACAGGAAAGAACATTGCAGACAATATAAAGAGTACTTTGGAAAAAGAACTGAAGCTTACCAAATAGCAAAACAATGTTGTTGCCTGTTGTTTTGATGGGGCTTCTGTCATGCATGGAAAAAACAAAGGTATTTCTACTCTCCTTGCCAAAGAAGCCAACCGCCAGTTGGCTATTCATTGTTGTGCACATATGACTTACATGTAGCTGTGAAAGATATGTACAGAAAGCCTTCCATTTCTGACATGGACAGTGTGATTCAAGCCTAGTACAAAATGCACAAGAATTCCAGAAAGAACTGGGAAGGTCTGCAAGAAGTTGCAGGGAAAGATGCATTGCATGTAAAGGTTCAGCGACCAGTGAAAGTGGTTGGAACAAGATGGCTCACCACCATAGAGCTCTATCTGTGCTGGAACAAACTGGAAGCCAATGATAATCCATTTAGAAGAGTTCCAGAGTAGAATTGCCAAAAACAAGATCAGAGAGAGTGCTAAGGACTGGCTGGATAAGCTAAGATCTGTGATATTCATCCTGATGATGAACTTCATGCTGGTGTACTTTTCAGAGATGGGTGCAGCCCATAATGTAGAATTTTAACTTTTTGGACCTAAAATAAGTATGAAAGCATAAAATGTCACCAAACTTGACCCAAGATGTCGCAACACCACCCCCCGCCATATACAGGAAGACGAAAGACCTTTCATGTAGATTTCCAACTTTTGTGGGCCAAAATCCCTTTTCGGGGTTGTTCAGCCTGTGCAGAGCATGATACTCTTTTGGACTTAAAACGAGAACAGAACATTTTGAGCAATAGTACATTTTCCACTTCATTGAATTTGTCCTTCTTTGTTAAAAACCGTTTCCAATTGTTACCTCTGGCCCATGATTAGACATGAATAGCTTCTCGTGGAAAATTTACTCTTCAAATTTTCTTTTTTTAAAGTTTATTTGGGAAAGGGAAAGGTCTATGGAAAATAGCCTTTGTAGCAATGGTGGAGCTACAGGCCACAGGGCATGTCGAAAGCACTTGCTACCATGTACTGTACATGAACACCTCGCAGCCCTGCAGCAAGCCTGCAGTTAGCGTGCAATGTAAGCGCATACAAAATGGTACCATTTTGCCATTTGCAACCAATTAAACAAACAAATGCCATATGTTGATTTCATTGTCGCGTTTGAGACTGTGGTGATACAGATTTGCAATTGCAAATAATGGCCGCCCTTTACAAAGCACAAAAAACAAAATAAAAACCCCCAAAAATGAGTTTAAGGGAATCACAGTAAGGTTGCCTAAACTAACACTGACTAAAGACAGTTTTCTCATAAGATCCTTCTGAAACTTTCATAAAAGTGACGGATCAAGACCATGAACCAGGAGAGTAATGAGTTTAAAGTATTATGCAACCTGTACTTTGACCTATTCCTCCATGCTTTCATTCACGGTATCTGTTCGACAAAGATGCCACTTCAAGCAAGAAATTTAGCTTGTTGATGCTAATCTGCTTAAATCCTCACTATTCATCAGTGGAGGGCCTGGGAAGTAAACTCTCAATTCAAAAACTTGGAATGCCGACGGGCTAGACCGGCCCATACAGGCCAAGAAAGGCAGTACTGCAGGCCGAGGATCATAACGGGCACGCAGTCTCGGCCTGTAGAGATACCGGCCGGCAGTGGACGCCGCACCTAAGTCACTGTTGAGTTGCAAAAAACTGTGACTCGAGTTGAACTTGAGTCAAGTCATTGCAACTCTACTAGCAAGTACATGTATGATACAAGTACAATACATGTATGGTAAAACTTACCCTTGCTTTGAAATGATACGACCACTTCCTTGAAAGCCCTTACAATCATGATCTGCGGTGTGTCTATGACGAAGACAAAAGTTACGCTGACATGAAGAACACAGGACAGGAACAAGCTGAAAGGTATTAAAGGAAAGCAAATTTGACCATGGAAATTCTTCATAGAGTCTGCAATCTAAGTGCAAGTGACAAAACATGGGTTAACACCTCAACCTTACTGGACAGATACAAGTATGGTAACAGAGGGACACATGACCAAAATTTTAAAAACCTTCTTCTCTGTTATGAGGACTTTCAAGTCCTACGTACACACTGGAATTATTCTTGTGCTTAGTACATCAGTCAGGTATGGTTTACCAAACCTTGGCTGTAACTTATTCTGTAATCATGTAAATTTTACTGTCATGCTTACTGAAACATTCATGAATGATGAAATATTACATGTACACTGTAGATACACATTAAAATTTTTATTAATTATGATGGCCGTACTGCATGTAGATGTATTGTTCTCTTAAAAGAAATTCTAAGTACCATTTTTGTATCTCATGAATAAGCACTTACTAAGAATTCCATTTGTAAAGTTTCTTTTGGTTCTTAATTTTCGATATTTTTAAGGTGTGGTCTCTAAGGGTGGGACTTTATGATTAATTTGCTAAAGTTTTAATAGTGACATTTGAATTTGCCATTTAACTGTTCAAACGTCTTGCCAACAAAAACAACAAGGGCTAACACATGTCAGCTTTGTTTCCGCCTAACAAATGAATTTTTTAACCACTTGCTGCAGGGTGGTTTGAAAAATGCAGTGCACGCATACAGCACATTTTCAAAATTTTGCATTTTCAGAATTCTTCAAAATTCATGTTTACACCCACACGAACGACTGTCTGACGGCTACTCTAATCTGACAGGCAACCTTCATTGACGCCCGAGTATTCAGTTAGGCCTGCTTCCCTGTAAAAGAGAACCTAGAATTGTGAGGTGTTGCACAATTTCCTTTGTTCCGGTGAATGCCAGTAGCGTCTTTTTGTATGCGGCTGGATTTAAGGCAGCAGCGGTGGTGTGTCCCTCATCAATAGGGCCCTGGAGCACTTTTGTCCGGGTGCAAATCCGCGGGCGCGCCATGCCCAAAACAATGGTAAACTGTTTAAAAACAGTGCCAAATTACCTTCGAAAAATGGAAGTCAAAAAATTATGGCAATTCCCAGCAGCAGGTCCTTTGTTCCGAGTAAGAGTCTTTTGTTACACAGACCAGCTCTTTTGTCCAAAACCGGGCACCCCGGCTCTGTGTATAAGGACATGCTATTAAGGAAATACAGTGCTCAAACATTTTACCTTTAATATCACATGAATTACTACCTGATGACATCATCCTCACACATCAGGTTAATTTTCGTCAAAACCATTTCCCTTTCTATATATCAGCTAGCTAGGATATATCACCTAACGAGGCCATCAGAACATGAAGCCAATTTTCATCTATAACACTTTCCTTTCTAGTTATCTGCAAGGTTTGAACCCAATCGGGCACGTACTTCACGAGGTATAGAGCTTTGAAGAGTGCACCTTTATGGTCCCATGACTTGTCACATGATGACGTCATCATCACATCAGGTCAATATTTGTCTAAAGCTTTCCCCTTTCAAGATATAATTGCAATTGCAAGGTTTGATTTCAGTCTCACATGTACATGTACTTCATGAGATCAGTGCTACATGTACATGCATCACGGGTTAAAAGGCTATATATATCCACTTATCTAAAGTTTTTCATTTAAAAAAAGGCCACCAAAATGCTTCAGACAGCATTGAAAGTATCAGAAGTCTATATAGGGTTAGGAGTCATCATCATCAAGTGCATAATTTCTTTTCTTACAGGGACCAGTTGTATGCACGTTGGATAAACCAACGTTACCTGAAACTGTCATCCTGGCTTTCAAGCTACTGAAACTAACCTACTTGCTAACGGGGCAAAATTGTAGTCTCCTTCAAGCAGTCGAATCGTCGACACTGCAGCAGTCATGTGACTGCAAAACAAAAGGTCATGTGACCACACACACAGGGAAGCCCAAGTGAAAAAAATAGCTGCGCTTCACCTTGTAAAAAAGACTAAAGAATACAAAAGTTTTGCCACACGAAGGTACCACAATAAAGTGGTTTAGTTTAATAATTTTTTTTAGGATGACTCCATTCCCCTGAGGTTCAAATTCATTATTGTCAAGATTTTAATGTATAAGTACTTCGACAAGTGACATTTGACTGGCCGACTGTATTATGATTTGCAACTGTCAACATTTCCCTTTTTTCAAATGAAAAAATGTTCAGATTTGAAATGCTTTTGTATATACAGAAAACATCCTTCCTGCTTTTTTGGTCAATTCCTCATCTACAGGTCTGCTGAATCACTGAGGAAATTCATATTGCTTTGATTTAAAAGTAATTTTGAAACTGAATTTTAAACGATGACTATGGCATCAAAATTAAACTGGTTCTCTGACTCTTTGGGTTAATAGAGCACATTCAGTGTTTTGGTTACCAGCTAATAAATAGAGGCTGATCAACCGCACAATTTGTGTGTGATCACTACTTACCGCACACCATGTGGAGTCTCAGTACCGCTGGAATATTGCACAGTCCGCTCTCGCTTTGTCGTCAATCCCGCCAAAGCAATTTTCATTCATATTGTTTTATTTGACAAAAATACTCTTAACTCAAACAGTAAGCAAAATTAGATGAAAAATATGAATTCCAATGAATTAAAAAGTAGAAATTGCATAAAGCTTGAATTGACTTTTCAACTGTACAGTGAGTTATCAACAGTACCCTCCCCGTGCCGCACAGTTGACAAACCCACTATGTCACATACATTTCTGCTGCACCCATGTAGTTGAGTTCACAACGAATTTGCGTGGTAACGCTGCACGATCCGAAAGTAGGGGGAAAAGCTTTCAGTTTTCGGTAAATTAACAAAAACCAGAAACTCTTAAAGTAATTTTGATTAAGCAGACATTACAGGCAAAGGTTTATATGATTGTCCAATCTGAAGAATTATTTGAAATCACATGTAGTGAGTGACCTTTCGCCTATGAATTTTAGTGTTTCTTTTGCTCTTTTGAACTAGGAAAATTCCGGAACTAAGAAAACAACTGCAGTACAACGGGTGGAGTGGATAACAAACGTTGCCGTCGATCTCTGAACTGAAGTTCCATGTACATGTATAACTGCGGGATTCAGGTTTTCAGCCGCACGGTGATTTTTCAGGAATTGTGCTCTTCAGTAAGAAATTTCACAGACATATTATACATGGATGTTTGTTCCTAATTTATTTACATTTTTTTTACGGGTACCCGGCCCGGAAAAATGGAACCGGGTTTTGATATCGACAGTCAGGTACCCGGCATAGGCCTATTGTCATCATGGAAATGAGAAAATTTCTGAGAGGTTTGCCACCTATATTTTGTCTGGTAACTTGCAGTAAAATAGTCATTGAGACTGATGTACAGTTGCTAATTTATCATTTAATCACCATTTTGACCATGTGCTCATGGATATTCATAAAAACACAGGTCACGCACAAAAACTGTGCACACATAGTAAAAAAACCGAATGGCTTTCACATGCAGTGCAGACTGACTGTGCAAGTGCTTTTGAGTGTTCTAATTAGTGTGACATGTTGCTATGTCTACTCTGAATGTGGTCATCTTGGTTGTTACTAAGTTCCTGGATAAAGGCCAGTTATCAATAAATTCCAAGAATTCTTTACTACAAATGCAAAATGCATGCAGGCACCTAGCTACAGTTTCTGACAGTGTGGATGGAATGAACGAACTTGGTGACTGGAGTTTCTAATAGCATACAAAGGATTAATGATCCGTCTAATGCAATCTGTCATTGATGTATGGGAGTCCATAAACTGTTCCATGAAAAAACACTTTAGACAGAAATCCTGAAAAGGACGCTCTATTTTCTGGGGTACTGGTACACTGTCCACTGACAGTTGGTAAGCTAGCAGACAGGAAGGGGTCGATGGTACATGTACAGTGTACTTGAATCACACAAATAAACTATTTGTGTACAGGTGCATGAAACTTACTCTAGAGGTCAGAACATTTACCAATACAATATAGTAATTACTTTTTACAGTACATGTACTTTTTGTTAGTTGTGCAAGTCTTACCTCTTTCTGTTTGCATCCCTTCAGTGAGCATTTGTTAGAGAATACCCTTCTTTTCTCTTTAGCTGGATCTGATTGACAGTCACTATCAATATGTTGAGATACTTGAATATCTGGAGGCTCCCCTCGCTTCACAGGTATTGGTTTGTTACAGAGGGGGCACACAGGCACCTGCACATCCTACATATATAAAGAGATCAAGCAAACCATGGTTACCCAGGAAACCATCAGTGCACATACATGTAGTTGTCTTCTGAATATTGCAGTTACAGTCTATTGAATCTTGGAATAAACAAACCAAGAACATACCCTACTGCTCATAATAAATAGCCAACACAACACACTGTCGACGCAGTGTTTTATACACAAAAATATCAAAGTATCTAATCAGTAGAGTACATGACATTTAATCTCTGCAAAAATTGTTCAACCTGACTGCAGCTCAAATAGTTTTCAAATTCCAGAAGTTGAGCTGTTGTCAGTAGTCGATCCTTGTGTGTTTGAGATACTACAAAATTATTTTCAAAATTAAAATTTTTCATTTGGACTGATAGGATTGACAAAAGTGACAATGACACTTTTCCTAGTTATGGATCGGTTTCACCAGTTCTGGGTTGCCTCTATAGTTTCTTTGTGCATAAAAAGGAATCAAGCAAAATATAAATCTGTCACCCAGAATCACCGTAACAAGCTGATTTTCTCATGAGGAATAATGTAGTGAAATCTACTGGCAGTTCATGAATCAGAATTCCAGTGAATTAAATAAAGAGAACTGCGTAAACTTTGACACGACTTTTTCAGCTGTGCTAGCTCAAAGATAGCTCAAAGATACTGATCATTCCACATAAACTCACAATGTCACACACAAATCTGGTAGGCACATGTAATTGAGTTTGCCACATGTGCATGATCCAAGGCTAGGAAAAATACTTGTTAAGCTTCTGGTCGGCAAAGTTTTCAACAACAGAGAAGTTAATTCCATGTGATATTTATCTGTTGCACGAGCTTATATGAAAAGTTCAGCATATTAATTAATAATCACACGTTCTGCCCTCCGATTTTTTTTGGTGATTTTTAAGAAACCATGATAACGTGGAAATGTGAGTCGGAAATCTAGCTGAAACTCCTCTCCTGTACATTTTCTGAAAACAAATTTGAATGTGAAGAAGCATTCTACCTTTCACACTAGCACTCGTCTGAAAATGTGATATCAGACATTACTACTCAAAGGTATCCTTTAACAACTTATCCAAAACTTGAAAAGTAAAAAACGACCGTAGTTTTAATATAGGTGGACTTGCTTTTCAAATTGGCATGAAGCCTGGGATTTACATGTATTAACACAGGTTTCCTTGTTCCAGATAGCAAAATTATTAAATCTGATTGCAGCTCAATAATCCTCATTTTCCAGTGAAGCTGTGGTCAGTAGTCACCCTTGTGTGCAGGAGATACTACAAATTACTTTCAGAACTTAAGTTTTTGACTTAGAGGGTCGATGAAAGTTTCTGCAGATTTTGGATCTGGTTAATCAGTTGGAGATTGCTTGAAACCTTCAACCAACTAAAAATGAGTGAGATCAGTTTTTCAGCCAGAACCACTGTACAAAAATGATTTTCTTACAAAGCACTTCTTAATTTAGAGAAAAACCAATTCATGATATCAATGAATTAAAAAAGAGAGCTTGCTTAAATTTCAACTGACTTCTGCTGCCAAACAGCCTCCCACCATCCACACCACATCTTGGCCAACCCATTGTCACAAAAATATGGAACACGAGTGTACTTGAGTTTGCTATGAACATGATGAATGTATGCATCCAGCTACTATCCAACACTGGGCAAAAAATTATAATGCTCAATCTTTGGTACATGTGAATAACTTTTCAAAACAAGCCATAGTAATTTGACACATGTATGTATTAGATGCAAGAGTTAATATGAGTGTTGAGTATTAAAAAGAATTTGGAATACAGCATAGTCATTGACCTACCTGTTCCACCCTGCAAATTTTGGATTTTTTGGATCCTGTGATTTTTTACAATCAGACTATGTCAAAGTGTGAGTTGTCTTGCCCAAAGTCATTTTTAAGAACAAATTTGTACAGAAACGAACTTCTGAAGAACTCCACTGGTGAACAATACAAAAAGGTACCTTTCATTACAAGCATCAGTCACTTTAGTAGAAAAATTTACGTGGTTGGTCAATGCAGAACAAATGAACTTCAATTCCGGATTCTGATTGGCCAGCATAAGTAGCTCATTAATATTCACAATCTTAGCCCAGTTTTCCCAAATTCCACAATGCAATGCCATAAAAGCTGGATGGCTTGCGGTAATGAAATTAAAACAGATACATGCATTTGTTAGACTACCACCTGGAGATGTATATGCGGAATCATGGCATCATCATGACATCATCACCTGATTTATTATAGAATTTTGAATATTTAATTGTTCCCCATATGTTTTTGTACACGTTTTCAAGGCAACATGTTGGTTGTTCAGCAATCTTTAAATGTCATCAAAGTTACACAAAGCAAAGACCTCAAAGAAAGGATACTATGATAATTATATTATGATGACATCATCAAGTAATTTATTATTAAATTTTGAATATTATTAAAATCCATATAAAATCAACCCTAGCCTCCCGCAATATTCTGTTTGCTGCAAGTAGTGGAGTAAAACTGGGCTTTCAATTTATCTTGTGTGGTCAAATCACGTGACCCTTCCTTCTGGTCGAAACCAGAAATGAGCCTATTATCTAAAAGTGGTACTACTTTTCAACGATGTCAGTAGATGGGGGTATAGTATTCTTCAAATCATTTACTTATGACTTCATGTAACTGTCTAGTGCCCTCTAGCAACAGGTTAAAAATTGTGCAAAATGAATTTTGAATCGATGTTTGTGGAAAAGTTTGTCTGAATTGCCTGAAAATTGACAAGGATGATGATCTTCACCCAGTTAACACACATGTGCAATTTGGGGCTGACAACATCACGAGGCCGAAAGTTTTAACAAAATTACCCTTAAATCATTGTAACTCACTAAAATATCTCTCCTAAACACTAAAGTCCACAACTGCCCATTGAAAACTTGAGTAAAACTATCTGCATCCATTGTCTAAAATGTTTGGCTCATTGCATTGTTCATACATGCTGTGCACGGCTGATGAAAAAGTTGCCATTTGCCAACAATGCCGGGAACTTGACCTGTAGGGTAAGAGTCATTGCGGTAAGAGCCATATGCTTTGTACATGTAAAGCGTGTAATGGAGGCCCGCTATTTGGGGGGAATCTGGCAAAATTCCATGTGGCTGGGAAAGCATGTGAGCGTATATTGTCACACTCTACTGTAGAACGAGGGTAGTGGTCCTGCAGAAATTTTGAACTGCGTACTTAACGACACAGCTGTATGTTTTAACTTCCTTTTTATCAAACCAAAAGAGTTTCCAAAACAGCTCAGTGTTTGTCTACCGATAAACACAATGTTCGTTTCGTTGTCCTTTTTCAGAGTGCAAGGATGCTGGATGTTGGTAGGTACTGTTATAACGTCATGTGCTGCGATAGGCTGGCCAGGTTTGTGATTTGGGAAGGTTGACCATTTGGGACAGGTGAACTTGATGGCCAAGGAAATCCAACTAGCAGTAGTGGCTCTGATTGCTGCTCAATGAGGTTTATTGAAGTAATGATGGAAGAAGAGGGATAGTACATGTACCTATCAGCTTTGAGTCTTGGTCGGATACCATTTGGAGAATGGAACAGGGTGCACGCTTTGCTATTAGGAGAATTAGAATGCTTGATGATGTCCAAGATGAAGATGTCGTCTTGGTGGGATGAATTCGAGCAAAACTTTGAGCGGATGTCTAAGGCTAGGATGAAATGGACACTGTGGTGTTACCTATTCGATAAAATCATCCGTGATGGATACTGTTGGTAATCCACTGCCTGGGAACAAAGAGTTACTAGAAGTAGAAAGGCCAGCCTCACCTAGGTGGGTGATGATGAGGCCTAGAGGGAAAGGCTTGGAGGAAAAACCTTTGGAGAGCTCAAGGACACGAGACAGGCCCAACAACAAAAGAGTTACCTTGAAGGGGAACACTCAATGAATATACTAAGAAAAAAATACCTGAGGGCAGTGTTGTTTGAGGGAGTGGAGCCATCAGGGACAACAATGGTGGATAGCTCTGACGAGAGAATGGTAGTTGTGTAATGCTAACTCTAGTCCTGAATAAGTAGGGACAAATAGGAAACTCGTCTACTGCAGTTGTAGGTGTCTAAGTTGGAGATGCACGACCACTGGCACACCATAACATAGAAAACCATTATTTGTTGGCGTAGAATACATGGAATGCAGGGTGGGCGCATAGGCAAATAGCCCTTCCCAGCTGAAAGGAGGGACCTTTGTATTGCCCAGGCCTGTAGGTGAGAGAACCTGGAGCAGAGCCTCAGCTGCCAAACATTCTCTGTCGTGGAAAAAGACAATACAGTATGTAAACTGTCCAGTACTCAGCCACGTTGTAATGCAGAGTTGGGATAATCTTTCCCTGAGAGCACATGACTGCAAAACAGCTGTAATGTTATTAAGCCGTAATGTTATCAAGCTGTAATGTTGGCAGTCAGGATATGGGTTGTCTTGAGTTCAATCACAGAGCCCGATGCCCAATAGGACAATTGTCTGATTGAACAGGACAGATCTGCCCTAGTGGTTGTACTGCCAGGATGTATCGTGCTGGAAGTTGCCTGGACTTCCGGATGTTGAAGAGACTTCCCAATCACTGAGACCTAGAAGGTCAGGAGGGGAAGCACCTCCTGTAAATGTGGATGGGTTGGCGGAAGTCGTCAGCTGTATGCAACTAGATGGTTATGTATCAGCTGTCAGCAAAGTTGTAACAGGATGAGGTCCATTATTAAAACTGGGAGGTCGATCAGGGTCCCAATTTAGGCCGGAAGTGTCACAAAGCCCCGGTGGCATAACAGTCCAAACGGTGGCATCGTCCGATGCTACGGGAGGCTGAGGACCGCACTGAATTGCAGGAGTCTCCAGTGGGAGAAGAGGTGGAGCGTGTCGAACCCACTGTAGAACCTGTTGCCCACTGGGAGGGAGTTGACTGGCCCGGCTTCCGAGTGGGCACCGCCCGGTGGGCAGAATGGGGGGACCCAGGGCAGACGGCAGACCGTCACTCTGTGAGCTGCTGGGTCATCGGAAGGCAGGGTCATCGGTAGGCAGGGTCACCCGGGGATGCAGTAGGTAGCGATGCTCAGTACCTGCAACATAGAAAAGGAACCGCTCATCATTCTCTGGTCAACACTACTGTGATCAAGGGTAGTGTTGCAGCATAGCTCGATCAACCCGATCTGTAGATATGTGAAGCGGGCGTCGATGACCCAGTGTAGTGTTGTGGCCCAGCACGCTCAATCTGGTGAGTAGGTGTACTGAGCAGTCATCAGTGATCAAGGGCAGTGCTGTGGTACCGCTCGCTCAGCCCGATCAATTCTGGTATTGATCATCAGGCTATTGTTGTGGCATAGCTCATTCAACCCAATCATGTAGATAAAGGAGCGGGGTAGTGTTGCGGCATAGCTCGCTCAACCCCGGCCTATTCAATCTATTGGGTCTCTCCTTGCCGAGGCCATTAATTGGATAATGGAAACCGTGCTACAAAGGAGCGGGGCAGTCCACCAAGCTCCGCTCCACGGCCAGACCCATATAGCGTTGGGCCGTTATTATTCGAAAGCACACACCATATAGAGAACAAAGGGCTGCCCAGCCCTGTTCAACGGCCACACCCAACACAATGCATCACAGTAGGTTACATCCAAACCTGTATATGATGCACAAAAAAAGGGGCAGAAAAGAACAACAAAATATATGAACTACGAGATACGAAATATGAGAATAAGTACTATAAGAAATCACTCTTTATTCTTAAACAGAAATCAAGTCAATTCACAAACGCAAAAGGCACGGAACTCAAAACTCCTTAAATGAAATAAAAGACAAGTCCATAAATGATAGGCGATGAGAAAAGAAGAACGAACATGGCAGCAGGACAGCAATGCATTGTGGAGGGTCAAGGGGCAGAATACATAATCAAGTCTTTTCAGAGAATTGCAATAGGCACTTAGGAAATTTGCATATGTAGGCTGGACAGGGGTACATGTATGTGAACGCAGGAGACTGTATGATTTAAAATCAAACAGATACAAGGATTCTGCCTCTCAACAAAGAGTGCCAAGGTTTGGTTTGGTTCGGTTCGCGGTCAGAAATGTATTCACATGTACGTATCCACATGTACATGCACGTGGCCAAAGGGGCGATTTACGGATAATGGCATTTTGTTATTTGCAATTTTGGAACATTTATATAACAGGTTTTGCCCTTACCCAACGTTTATGTATTAAGAAACACTGTATGCTCAGTGCTCATTGTGGAACAACTACTAAGAATCTTGAAAATGCTATCACAACATATACGTACAACAACTGGACCAAACAAAAGACAAGTTTACAGGCCACCTCGCTCACAAAATCTGGTTGCGTGCGTGCTGGTCCCCCCGGCAAAATCAGCTTCTCTCTGGGGTTGCCTTATAAAGATCGAGCAGGAGTCCTACCACGATCAACATGCACCCAATCAACCTTTTGGGGATTAACATACATGATGTTGTCTGAGTATACTGTACATAACCATAATTGGATGTAGTGAGAATATAGCATTGTTGAGCGATGGAAATGCTGTAGGTAGCATCTTCTATGCTAATTATTAGTGAATTCTCACCATGTGCGTTTTACAACAATCAAGTGATGAAGGCCATCAAATGTCCAAAGACACACATATACCGAGGTTTGCATAGTCAAATTCATCAAACTCACTATCTATTTTTCGTGGTGTGTTGGCTTTTTTTTAATCAAGCTTGGTTTGAAAGTGCCATGTTCGATGATTTTTGGTTCGGTTCGGCGGTTTGATTGCAGCAAGAACATTTACTGAGGAGCATGACAAGAACTGTGTAACCAGTTTTCGGGCTCCATTTTGCCTTTTACATGTTCAACCAATATTCAGCAAACAGTTGTTTATAGCAGATTTGGGTCATTGCCAAGGAAAAAGCATAGGAACTTCATGTGGGCGCGCAGCTGTCAGGATATCAGTCTCAGTTCCAGGTTTCAGTGATTATTTTTGTAGAGCACCCTTCCATGGTTCTGGACTTAACGCTTGCCATAAAGAGGACCCATTATGCATGATCTGCCATTTAGCACTGGGGTCTTGGGGAAAGACTAAACGATGATCGAGGAAACCACAAAATCTTCACAAAAGGCCATCAACAAGATATCGTATTGGGTCTTGCTCTAGGTGTAGATTGGCCAGTTGCGATGTCTGGAACGCCCCAACATTTTCGTGAACCAATCAAGGTGCTGATTTTGGAGCCACATCACTTAGCAACAGTACTACAATGTCAGAAATTGTTATATTGGGTGTCTCGGTGAACAGCTTTCGATTTTTTCCTGATTTCTTTAAAAAACTTTTACGTTGATATATATCCAATAACTGCAAAGTAATGTGGACTATTAACGTTAAGGGCGACTATTATAAAGGCTAAAAAAATCAAGAGACTGACCTACAGAAGAAATAAACTGCAAGTAAGAATTGGAATAATCTTGGGCTATCAAAATATTATCAAGGCAGGAAGTGTGGTACCATGAAAAGGCCATTGGTGGAATTCTCACGAATGCATTCATGCCCTCTGTGTCATTACATAAGAGCTCTGGTCGAGATGATTTGAAAATGGCTGGTTTATTGTTTTCATGCACACTTTGCAAAATGAAAAAAAAACCTGATAAATCTTGATTGAAGAATGCCTATTCCTCTCAATAAAATGCACGAATAATGTAACAAAACTTTGGCCATACTGTATTAACCACTTCATGCCGGGGTATTTTTCAATGTTGATGATGCTGGCCCGGCATGAATATCATTTTTTTCGTTTTCAAAATCCCTCAAAAATTCATCTAAGTTGACTCTAAGTTGACAGGTGACCTTCATTGACGCCCGAGTATTTCAGCCAGGCCAGAAGCCTTGTAAACAGAGCCCAGATTGTGCAGTGTTGTATAACTGTCTTTTGTTCACGAACCTGGGTTAGTGCACTGCTGACCTCTTTTCAATAGGGGCCAGATTAGCGTGCAGCGGTGTTGTGTGGCTCATTGCTGCGGTGGAGTACTTTTGTCCCGGTGGTAATCCGCTCGCTCTCAATGCCCCTGGTATACAGTTTCAAAACAAGGTTGGATTATCACCACTTTTGAGAGTGAAAAATGACAGTAATGCCCAGCAGCCTGGTCTTTTGTTCTTTCGTTACAGGGCCCTG